TGTGCGTTGACAGCAGCCGATCCTGGTGATGCTAACACCGGGTCCAATTCATCCGCATCACCGTAATTGTTACAGAGACGATTTGGTTAGAAGCTTCCAGTTCTGCGGTTGTTGACTCAAGTGATGCCGAAGGAGAGAGAGAGAGAATGACAGTAGGCGATTAAGAATTCTCGACGTGTTTTTCTTTATTTTGCATATCTATTGTAATTTTTGGTGACAACCGCTCTGGTCTGAATCGGTGTTTCAGAAAGGGTTACCCAGGGGGTGGTAGAAATGTATCCTATTATGGTCATTAGAACAACGTGATACTGTCTAACGATTTCGTCGCAGTGTCAGCTGACAAGATGACTGTTGAATCTTAATAAAAAAGAGGTGCTCAACTCTGTAAAGTCATAAAATTCCAGGGGTGTACTTGTCGTGCATCAGCTTTAAATCCACGCAAATATGCGGATTGTTAATTTCGTTTTTGCAAAATTAGCACGGACTATCTTCCGGTAATGAACCTCCCGATAAGTGACACGAGAAGTCTGGGATCCAACGCAATAAAAACGAGAACGGTCTTGTGATACAGTACTGTTAATATGAATCCCTTAATGACGTGATAGATTTTATGCAGACCTTGATTCGTGCGCTATCTGGACTAGGGCAGTCCATCAAATAAGAATATGGCGACGCTTCGTCAAAATACAACCTACAATCACAATGCTTCAAAAGGGGATAGCTCATCGCCGTGTTAAAGAGAAAAATGAACGGAGTAAACGGAGTCGAACAAGATTAGTCCAGCCTGGCATCGACAGGAAGCCTCCAAAGGATGAACCAATCATACGGGGGGAGGGAGTTGGGTGCACACAACTAGATCACTCGTTAAACTATGACAGACGTGTGTGGGTTCATGACATAACACCCGAGGAGCTGTAAGAACAGGTCACTTTTGTGTGAGCGGTTGGATAATGGATAAGTAATAAGCGATGAACCGGTATAGAACTAGGACAGAATGTATATGGATCAACCAATAGAAACGGACGATGGAGGTCACAAGTTAAGTCGTGCGGTTGAAGCCATACTAAATGAGTTGTTTATCTGAAACTGGGATAACTAAGCCCTCGTTTGGTTATGTAAGAAATCGATAACCAAAACGAAATGAATGTCGACGGGACCGAAAGGAGTAATATTCAGACTGGGAATGAGACAAAAGAACAATGAATGATTCTAAAGATCAGAATCCACATTGGTTCTCGGCAAAAGTGCTTACGCTTGCCCGAAAATTTTGCCCGTCACATCAGAAAGAAAATCAGAAGATGAGACAAAGTCTTGACAGAACTCTCGTAATAACTGCAAAAAGTGATCAAAGTCATGCAACGCAGGTTCGGTGTTCTCAATAGAACATATATCTAAAATCACAATTACGAAATCTAAATAAAATAGTTGCTTCTCATCTGGTTTGTGAACCAACAGTGTGTGTTCTAGTAATTATCGTGTGATTTTTATCGTCATAAATATCTTCAACAATCATGCGGTGTATTTCATGTCTGGAGCAAACAAAGAACTGTACAGCTGCTTTTCAGACCTGATTGATTGGCTCACGATACAACCCGCTACTCCCATTTAATGCGTGGCCAGTGTCGGAATTCTTCCAGTCGAGTGAAAACCTGGGTGCCTAGTACAAGGTTGCAAAGATGGGTTATGCTATACGTGTATAGGCAAGATGGAAAACTGTCTGAGCAGCTGCTCTGTGGTCAAGTGTTGGGTAGGCTTGCTTTCTGGTTTCGGGTTCGATTGTCAATTGTGTGGAACCAGCTGTACAATGCTTCCCATCTGTTCAGTTCGCTCTGTGAACAAAGGAATTCACTATATCATCAGACCAAATCCTCACCTACTCCCATTCTGTGACATTTGAGACACTGTGTTCATCATGTACTGTTCGATTTCTTCAAAGTGGCCTCTCCGCTCTTATCCCTCGCTTTTCTCCAGGTGGTGTGGTTGTATTTCTACCCTCTTATGACTATCAGAATCAGCTGTGCTCTCGTTGGGAATCCACCGGTTTGTGGGATCAACTCTCCCGATCCAAGCGTGTGTTTCGCGAGCCTCGGAATTCAGTCGGCCTGAAAGAGGTAAGAGTAAATAACTGGTACTCAGCAATGTCTAAATGTGTGCATCCACTCATATATCAGTTCGGTTTGTGATCTAGGTTCATTTTTGCCCATCCGGACAGGGCACGGAATACGTTAATTGCGAACCTGTTTCAAGTTAGCAACGCGAATGGATCAACCCAAATAGGTGTCTTATCTTGAATCTTTCATGGGGCCACTAAATGCTGTTATGTGGCTGTGCATAGTTTTACTGTTCAATATGTGCATTTTGCGCATGATCTCGGTATTCCGTATCATGACAAATTGATAGCTTTTTTCTCGCTCTCCTTCAATGTCTCATACTCTTTTGAGCACGTATTTCTTATACGTCTGTTGATACTAAAGTACAATTCACTTATGACCATATTTAGTCATTTCTGTGCCAGTCGACTTCATGGTGAACTAGAGCTGCTTTCGACAAGCCACCTGACAGGTGCGAATGGTAACAAATGATTCAATCAGCGTATTTTTTTCCTGTAGTTCCATACAGTTTTCTGTCTTTG